AAAGGAAATGTAAATCAAAACCATAATGAGATATCATCTCACCCCTGTGAGAATGACCTATTTCCAGAGAACAGAAAAAACAAATGTTGGCAAGAGAAAAAGAAACACTCATGTGAAGTTGGTGGGAATGTAATCTGATGTAGCCTCTATGGAAAAGGGTAAGATTCCTTAAAAAAAAAAAAATGGAATTACTGTAAGATCCAATAGTACCACTTCTTGGTATTTATTCAAAGAATATGAAATCACCATGCACTCCTGTGTTCACAGCAGCATTATTCACAATAGCCAAGTCACAGAACCAAACTAAGTGCCCAATGACAGATGACTGGATAAAGAAATTATGGAATATCTACTCAATGGTATCCTACACAGTTGTTAAAACAGATGAGGGACAAATGGGATTATCTGTATGTGATTATGCTAAGTGAAGTAAATCAAAGTGAAAAACGTTAGCAGGTGGTCACTCATCTGTTGACTATAAATAACCAAAGAAAAGAAGTTGGCAAAGCACATCAAAAATAATTCTTAGACTCTGAAAAATATACTGACTACTAGTGGACATGTGGGGTATGGAGGAGCAGAGAAGGGAAGGAAAGGGATAGGATAATAGTACTGGAGCTATTATATAGGGTGAGTAAGTATATGCACATATAGAAATGTGAAGTTGTACTCCTAAAATTATATAGTTATGTAAACAACTGAGATTAAAAGGAAAATACTAAAGTAACATTATTCCTAATGATTAAGACTGATTATTATTCATCTAAGATTGAGAGGAAGGCTAGGATATTAACTTTCACTATTCCTATTCAACATTATACTTGAAGTCCTAGCCAGTGCAATAAGGCAGGACAAAGAAAAGGCATACAGATTGGAAATTAACATAAAATGTTTCTATTTGCAGAGAACATGATAACCTACATTAGAAAATCCATAAGAATCTATAAAATAGTTCCTGAGAACTAGTAAATGCATCTACCAAAGCTTCAGGATACAACGTAAATACAAAGTGAATCATATTTTTATATATGTACTTATAATGAACACTGGAATTTGAAATTTCCAAAAATTACTGTTTAGAATAGCATCAAATAGGTATAAATCTAGCAAAATGTAAAAAGAATATGTTTAAAACTACAAAACAGTAAAAGAAATCAAATACATGATCTCTGTGTTTACCCTAATATGTAATCATCAATTCACCCTAATATGTAATCTGTGGATTCAGTTCAATCCCAATCAAATCAAAACTACAGGAAAATTTTCTGTAGATGTATGTATGTGTGTGTTTGTGTATGTGCAAGGGTCTCTCTCTCTCTCTCTCTGTCTCTGTCTCTCTCCGTCTCTCTCTATGTATAGTCAAAACTGGAATAGTCAAAACAATTTTGAAAAAAAAGCTGGACTACTCATTATCTTATTTCAAGATAATATGATCAAGAGGGTGTGATACTGGTAAAGGATAAATGTGTCAGTGGAACAAATTAGAGAGCTTAGTGATAAACCCACACAAATATTGTCAAACCAATTTTTGATAAAGGTGTAGAGGCAATTCAACAGAGAAAGGAAGCCATTCCAACAAATGGCATTGGAACCACTGGAAATTCCTACATGAAAAGATGAGTTTTCTTGTATACATATAATCAGCTTTTCTGTGTTTTCTTCCATTTCTTTATCTTGGCAATTTTGATCTCTGTATCTGAGAGGAGGAAAAGATCATCCATGTCTTTGGATCGTGGAGATAGGTTCTCTTTCTGTGATGAAATAGTCCCTTGAGGACTTAATGTGCCACGTGTTGTATTTTTCCATCTGCCCATTTTGTAATTTTTCATGTCCTAATGTTGTAGAACTTATGCTTTTCCAGTAGATGGCACTGTGGGTATTTTTTTAAGCCTTTCCTGGTTTTGTATTTCAGTATATTTTATGACATTTTACGTTGGGTAGTACTGATCTGCAACTGCTGATTAAGGAGTGGGGGAGGGGCCTGGAGTGGTGCAGTCACTGGTGAAACTGGTGTGTGGAGCTGATTTGTATTTGTGGGAATGCTGATAGCCCTCCTTGCTAGGTTTTCAGACCTGTGGCTTTGGAGTCTGCTGGCCAGGCTTTCAGCACCACTTCATGGGTCCCAAGGTGGTGGGAGAGGTGGGTCATTTTGTATCCTGCCCTTTTCACTGGGGGCCCCCGCCTGCCTGGCTAACCCCAATACTTCCACGTCTATGTCCCCTCAGTTAAGGGTGCACCTCCACAATAATCAGCTCTCCTCTCCCAAGGATCACTAGCTGGACATGACAGCACTGCTTTGTACTGCAGTTGCCACCCCTGCTGCAGTTCCTTTCTCCACCCACTTTCATTTTGGCATAGATTTGAATTTTCTCAGTGTCTTCAGTTGTGGTCAGTGTTGGTCTCTATTGTCCAGGAGTTGACCCAAGTTACAGGAATCCTTGGGGTGCAGTGTTGTTCTGCACCACTTTAGATTATTGTACTGGGAACAAAGCAGGAAGCCTCCTCTGATGCCATCTTCACAACTCTCTAGTGCCTCCATTTTTAAATGCTAGTTTTACTGGATATAAAAGTCTTGGTTATCAGAATATTTTTGTTTTGACACTTTGATGTGTCATTCCACTGCGTTCTGGGCTTCATTGTTTTGAATTAGAATTAAACTGCTAATTGTATTTCTGGTCCCCCATGAAATGAGTTTTTTCCCCCCTGTTTTAATATTTTTATCTTGAGCTTTTAGCAGTTTCACTATGATGTGTCTAGGTATAGATATCTTTGTAATGATTCTACTTGGAGTTGTACTTCTTGGATATGTGGATTGATAATTTTCATCATATATGGGATGTCTTTTCATTATTTTTTCAAATAATCTTCTGCTTTTCCTCTTTCTCCTCTCCTGATATTCCCATTTGGAACTGCCTAGTGTAGAAGTGGATAAATCAGGACAAAGGGAATGATGGTATGGTGAAGAACAGAGTTGACCTCTTAGTGGTGATCTTAATGTAGTATATACACATGCTGATTCTCAGTATGTGCACCTGAAACATATTATAATGCAATGCTACTTCAGTGAAAATAAAGGCATTGGGGACTTAGATTCTTTCCATCTTTCTGTTTGCCTTCTTGATTCTTGGACTCATTTGCACAAAATGGCTGTCATAACTCCTAGCTTCATGCCTGTGTTTCAGGCATAATGGATGGGAAGGACTAAAAGGCTGAGGGAAAAACTGATTTTCTGTTAGTGAGACTTTGTCTTAATTTGGCAAGGGAATGTCCCCTTAAGGGACTTTCAGAAGTTCATTGGCCAGAGCCATGTTACCCTTTGCTTCAAGGTAAGCTAGGAAACTTTATATTTCAGCTTTTTAGTCTCTGTAGTAGAAGAAGGAAAAGGAAAAGGAAAAGAAATTGTTTTTAGGGTTTGGGTCAGCTAGTCAACACTGTCTGCTGTACATTTTCAGAGGATTGTTGGAAGGAATCAGTGATATAATGTAATAAAAAGTTCTGCAGAGTGGAATTTAAATAGATAAAAATTACATTTTCATTCCGTTTGCTTTCTGTTGCATGATTTTAAAAACTAAAGTATATCTGTGAATTCATTTTATTTTAATTTTGTATCTAAGCCTCAGAAAATCTATGAGATTACTTTTGTTAAATGAGTTTACTTTATTGCTCGCATTTTAGAAATCAGTATAAATGTGTTTAGGCATAGACACTGTGTTATATCCAACTAATGCCCCTGTTTTTATCTAAAAATAAATAAAGATCATTTGCACATCAGGCTAATTTTTTTGTGTACCACATATCCTAACTGTCATTGTTATGAGTTTTGTATTTATGCAAACCTGGACCTTTCCTTTAGGCCTCTACTGATGGTTCTGATGATCATTTGTCTATGGTATTCTACCCTTCATGCCATATGACCTATTTTCTCTCAGGTTAATTAGCATCATGTATGGCTTAAAGAGCTAAATCTTTCCTATCAGTATCATCAACCTGGGCATTGGTTTTCCCTTCCTAAGCCATTGATGTCAACAGCAACAGAGCAGTTATTTTTAAGCATTTTATCCTGAAGTTTTTCAGTTTGCTATGTAAAAAAAATTCTAGATTTGTTATGCAGATTACTATTGATAATAATATTTCCTCCCTATGATTACCAGAATTATATTTTAAATTATAAAAATAAACTAGTAACTTCAGGGCATTTGTTTGTTTCTTGCAAATTTGAACCTCCCTGATAAATGGAACATATTCTACACAAATGTTTCTTTTGGAGAAAGCTATTTTCTGGAGAATACTTTGGCTCTGAGTGAAAATCATACTGAAGTATAAAAAACAGCCTTTCACTAATGTGAAAATGGTTGGAAAAGAGGCAGGTCGGCAAAGACTTAGCCTTGGTCTTGCTTTCTTCAGTGACCCACAAAATATTTCTAGATTAAAAGAGTGATTGCTGAGTCAGTATTGCACTTAGAAACACATGAAAAATGGCAGGATAAGTCTCTAGCAGCTAGCCTGCACAATAGCAGCCTGAATTTGAACTGAATGGGCTTCCTGGGCAGTAAATTTGAGAATAGGCCAAGTATTCTGAATATAATTACATACTGGAGCTATCAACTCCTTCTATAGCCAGAGGTAGAGGAAATGACCATCATAGTCATTAGCATTCAGTTGTATTATTTTTTCCCTGTGGAGCATGGTAAAAGTTGCTAAGAGATGGTCCCAGGAGGCATGTAAGTCCTGGAAGTAAGCTGAGAATAGGAATGGAGGAGTGAGAATCTTAAGTAAGATCAGAGAAACAGAAATCTACGAAGTATCTGGAAATTACCAGAGGACTTAACAGGATGTGGCATGAAGCAGGAGACCCTTCAGGTTTATTATTTCTGAATCTCTTCATTCTGATGAAAGTGTTGATAGTTTATAAATTTTGTCATTTTGAATGAAACAAGACTTTAATGTGTGTATGGCTTTTTGTTTTGTTTTGTTTGATGCCTGCCCCCTTTCTTTTGTAGACATTGTTCGAAGTGATGTTGCCTTGGATAAACAGAAGGGCTGCAAGATTGCCCAGCACCCTGATGTCATGCTGGAACTCCAGCGGGAAAAGGCAGCTCAGATGCATCTGGTTCTTCTAAAGGAGCAGTTCTCCAATACTTACAGTAATCTCATATTAACAGGTAAGGCAATTTGAGTCGCCTGAAATCTTAGCGCCCCACGAATTGATGGTCCCCATCAGTTAGCAACTTGATGCATGGGAGACACTAGAGTGGGATCCAGATGACCCACATCTGTCTGTCTCTACCCACTCTATCCCTTTTTAATTGTGAAGGCCTTGTCTTCTTATAAAAAAAATTCTTGTAGTTTGCAGATGTATGTTGGCTTAAGGTTATGGGCAATTCAGCTTGTATGTTCTCAAAAGACTGAACCAGTGAAAATTTAGTGACATCTTATAAAAATATGACTTTTTAGATATGTGCCAGTAGATTTGAGAGAATTACTAAATTTGGTGTCTAAGAAGCAGCGATTTTCCCCTTTCTGTGTATGCCCTTTCTATGAACCCAGTGAATATAAAGATGAAATGTAAAAGAGATAATGATCCACAGGCAGAGCTGACAATGACTATTCCTGGTGGAGTTTGAAAGTATCTGGGGAATTTGCTTTTCTTTTTAAGAGCAAAAAGGCTATGAGACTTGATCCATCCTCCCTAGTATCCTTGTTCTAGGAGGGAAGTGAATATGTGTCAGAGATCCAGGGAGAAACGATTTTTTGCAGGGCTTCCTGCAAACTGCTGGTAAAGGGCATGTGAGAAGCATGCTTTTATCAAGCATTGGGAAAGATTCTAAAGCAGATTCTAATGTCAGGATCATGGCGGACTTGAGAAGAACTAAGAACATCAAGTTACCTCCCTTTTGTTGGAGCTTGCAAGATCTGCATTATATTGATCCAAATAAACTTTAGTAAATGAAAAGTGTGTGTTTTCCCATGTTTATGAGCATTCAAAAATTAAAAGATGGACTATCTGACAGGCTATGAACATCTCACAGTTATTTTTATAAATTCCAAGTTAGGAAATTTTAACTTTTTTAATGGGCTTCCTGGCTTTTCACCAGGAATTTCTGAGTGGCAACCAAATTGTTTTGCTTTTGAAAAAGCATAAGACTTTCAACTTTTCATCTTGTACCTGGTGGAAAACCCAGCAACATGAGATGAAAGCCAGAGTTAAATGTGGCTTTGGTGAGCAGAGAAGAGGATTATGGATTTCATAAGTTTAGGACTGTTTCTTATTCTTTGATAGGTCATTAAGGAGGGAAAACTTAAAAGTGATTTATGGCCAATGCATGTATTTCCCTAAATTGGTTAGTGAAATTGTGATTAGGTTTAGATGGTTGGAAAGAACATAGATTTTTCCCTCCAAATTTCTTCAGTCTACTCAAATGTACAAAGATATATGTATTTATTATTTTCCAATTCAATTATTAGAAATGTTTCTATGCCATTCTTCCCTCTCCCAATTCTTATTCTAATATTTAAGGTGCATATTAAGGAGGTCAGATCCCATGTCCTTCATTGTGGCATCGAAAGGGCTGAAGGTAATTCTAACCCTAAACTGTGCATCCAGAGTGTGGCTTGAAGGCATATTATCTTTGAAAACACAAGTGTTCTATTGAGTTCAATGGAATTTTTTCTAATTCTCAGTAACATAATCCCTTTGGATGTTTATTCGCAGTTCAAACTGTTGGAATCAACATTGTCAACTTTTACCCTGACAACTTGCTTACTTTCCACTAAACAAACTTACCCTGGAGAAGAGCCTCTTTCCTGCTCTCACTTCTCCCAAGCTGCTTCAAAGAGTCCTCAGGCATTTTCCACATTTTTCACCCAAATGCCTGTGCAGAGGTGGTACCTTGCCGTAGAGCATTTGGTGTGCCCCGGTTTGTTTACATGAAAGTTCAAAAGGTTTTGTTTCCAGGTGTTGGGAAGACATGGAGTCATTTCAATTTAGCACCAATGGTCAAACTATTTAACGTTCTTTAACTAAGTCTTTGATTTTACACAGTGTGGTTTTCTAATTGTTATGAAGTTTAATCCTTGATTTCTTGTATAAATTTTGAGAACATGGTCTCCAGACAGCTAAACATAATATTTAAACATAACTAAACTAACTTTTGTAAATATTTCCCTTTTTGGTGATGAATGTGTATTGGTAAGGAGGATGAGGTTGAAGGGGCAGAGATCTCTCAAATGCAGTGACTTTCTTTACCAACATGTCCAGAACACCTACTCTAGGATTTCTGCTTGGTGATGTTGCACTTGTGTAACTCTGGCATAATGTTTGAAAGATCCGCCACGTAAGAATTTATATGGTATAGGATGAGGAAACTGCGCCTCCACAACTCAGAGAGAGATGACTTTTTCACGTACTTGCTCTCCCCTCAAACCCTCTCCCCAATTATTTACAGAATTTCATGTGTATGAGTAACAGCATATCATAATTGTTCCCTAGTCTGTCAGTGGTTTATTTTTTATTTTAAAATTGGACCACTAAAATCACAGTTTGGAAAAAAAAATAATAAAGTGATTGAAATGTCAGGTGGATAAAAGCATATTAAAAGTGATTGTTGTTCCAGCTCAAACGCAAGCCTTCATTCTTAGCTGTTCTGTCCTGAGCTGATGTGGCTGTCAGCACAGAGCAGCACGCTTTCAGAGTTTGCTTCTCAGCTATGCTCACTCTTACATAGCTACCACTCAAGTGAAGGCAAATGATTTTCTTCCTTTAAGGGCCTTCTGATCAGTTAAAAAAAGGAAACAACTCTACAGTCCTCACTGAAAGTCCGGTTAATGGAAACTAATAATAATTCTCTAATAAGTATGTCTTAGAGAAGCATTCCTCATTACATCATATTTTTGGAAATGTGAATTTGCATATAATTACACTTGTCTTAATATTTTCATGTGAGTGATTGGCATAATATTGGAAGTACTGTTAGCCTCCCCTAACTTAGAAGGTTTTGAAGTAAACTAAGATTCTGGGCAGGTGATGGGGTAATCCCAGTAGAGCATCAGTGACAGAACTGTTTTAATGGTGGAGAGTGTGTGTCACACTTTTCACACTGATTCATAATGTGTGCGTGTCTGCTTATTCTTAGCTTCTTGGGTCTCTGAGAGTGTTAATGTCATTTGTGTTACTGAAGGAGTAACAAATTAAAGAGAGGGTCGAGTAGGAGTTTTTTTAAAAAGAAGAGGGATCACATCTTCCATTTCTTTGTGCTCTCATGATTCTTAATGTAATAATATCTATAAATTTGTTGACAGTGATCTGTGTACATAATGAATGATTCACTTGAAGACTACTTTGAAAGGGATAATACTAACATCTTTTAAAAATTCTCATAAGTTCAGATTCATTGATTTGCCTGCCTCCTTTTGCCTTGCTCCTTCAGCCTCTCTCCTTTTGAAGTGGACACTGGACATTTGTTGTGTGTCCTTGCACTGTAACTGAGTGAAAAAAAAAAGTTAAGAGTCAGTCTTAAGGGGAAAAAGCCTTTCTGGGATTTTGTTTAATTTTTAAAATTATGTTTGGGATTTTGTTGAAAATATAGACTCCTGCAGGACAATAAATATATTTCTCTAATATGTATTCTGCATTATATAGAACATAGTGAATGATTGTGAAATGAGGTCAAATTTTTAAAAATTTATTTTCATTGTGAAGTGGTATGGTCAGCCTAAATGGTAGCCATAGAAATGAATGAATTGCTCGAGATGTTCCCAGTATTCCTTTATGAGGACTCTTGTCATATTGGATGCCACTTTTGGTTTTGTACTTCTTTTTATGGTCTTTAGTTCCAAACAGAACTGGGATTCATGTGGTCAGCTTTACTGTGTTACTATGGCAAATGAATTGAGCAAAAAAGGCTAAGGTTCCCTGTAGTTGAACATTCATCTAACTTTAATTGAGCAAAAGAGATCAAATCAGTAGAACAAGAACTTATCCTTCATTTGCCACAAACCTTAATGCTCAAAGAACTATTTCTAGGTGTATTTAATTATTTGCCTTTTATTCTGTAGTATTGTCTGTATCATGCTTTACTTAACTGTTTCCCTATTAATGTACATTAATTTACATGCATAGTGACAGATTCATTTCTGGAGGGTAGATTTCTCAAAATGGGATATCTAGGCCAAAAGGTATATATTCTAAAATTTTATAAATTTTTCTTATTGATATACATTTTACATGTAGCAAAAATAAAATTTGATAAGTACATGAGTCATATAACAACCACTGCCATAAAGATGTAGATTTCTGTGACCCTAAAAATTTCTTGTCTCCCTTTGCAATCAGTTCCCTCTCCCCACCTCTAGTCCTTAACTGGGTGGGCTCTGATCTCTGTTCCTATTCATATAAATGGAATAACAAAATAGTTATATTCTTTTACTTAGCATATTTGAGATTCACTCATCTTGTTGCATATATCAGAATTTCATTCCTTTTCATTGTGGAGTAATATTTCATGTTATCAATATCCTAATTTATTTATTCATTTGTTGGTGGATATTTGATTTGTTTCTAACTTTCGATGATTACAAGTAAAGCCACTGGAAACATTTATTCTCAGATCGTTGTCTTGATATACATTTTTGTTTCTCTTAGGTAGTTACCTAGGAGTGGGGTTGATTTTATGATATCTGTTTAACTTTATTTATTTATTTATTTTATTTTATTTTATTTTTTTTATAATTAATTTTATTTTTATATTCCCCATACAATTTCAACCCCCCATTTTGACCCCAATCCCTCCCCTCCCTCCACCCCCCCCCCAAAAGGGTCTCTGGTTCATAGATTTTTGTTGATTTTGATTTTCACTTTCTTATAGTTATTCATTTTCCTGGTCCCTTATTTAAGTTTTCTAGATTCCTGCTATGAGTGAGACCATCCGGTATTTTTCTTTTTCTTTCTGGCTTATTTCGCTGAGCATGATCCCTTCCAGCTCCATCCATGTTGCTGCAAATTGCATGTGTTTATCTTTTTTGAATGCTGAGTAATATTCCATGGTATATATCTGTTTAACTTTTAAAGAAGCTGTCAGACTGTTTCCCAATATGGCTGTATTAACTTGTATTAACTTGACAGTTCTAGTTTTCTAGTTCTCCACATCTTTGCCAATAATTGATA